TCAAGAACATCTGGAGGCCCAAGGTTGGGGACCACTGCTCTAAAGATCTCCCTTCTTGGCCCACAAAACTGAAACAATGTATCTGCTTCAGAATGTACGGAGCCTGTTCCATGCATGCTCAGTTTATACCAAGGTAGTTGTTCTTCCGTTTTGAACGCTCTTTTTGAAGATCAATATTTCAGCTACTGCAATCTGGATTCCTTCAAAATAAAATAAGTGAGTGGGCCAACCATTATTTTTCAAGATAAACAAGACTGGTCTATTCAATGTATTTATTCTGTTTTAACTCTGAGGATGTTTAAAGGTAGTTTGTTTTTGCATTGGGGGAAACAGTTTTGCTATTCAAAAAAATTGTAACTTGAAAACTCTTTGCCTAAACTTTACCAAATGTGGCACCCAACAAGAGGAGGCCACCTGCTACAACTGTGCCAAATATGGTGCTGATCTGAAGTCAAATTTCAAAGATACAATTTTTTGTTTGGACTGCCCCTATTTTTCAAATAGCCTTGTAGAATGTCGATTTGCTCTGCCAGCACAATAGTATCATCTTCAAATATTTGAAGTGTTAACACATGGCAGATAGCGCAAGCTTGTTTTTTCTCTCTCCAGAGACTAGGACTGAAACTGCAATGTTGCAGTAAACCAGAGAAAATATATTTGTTACAGGTCGGCTGTAGGCAGGCATGACCCCACTTGTAATAAACGACATATTGTAGTGCTTTTTTCTACATTTCAAAGCAAAGTGTGCTGCTTACATACCACCCCGTAGTGCTTAAAGCACTCTCTGGGCAGTTTACAATGTAATTATGTAGGCACATTGGGTACCCAATTTACCAATTTCAGAAGGACAGAAGGTTGAATGAACTTTGAGCCTGGTACCTGGGATTGAACCTGGGTTATGAGCAGAGTTTTGACTGCAGTACTGCAGTTTAACCACTGTGCCATGAAGCTTCTGTTTTAATCGATATACTCTGATGTGGGTGGGTGTGCTAGAGTCATGTTAGGGCCTTAACACAAGACCACATTATGGGAGCACCATTCTCTCTTTTCATTTAAAAAAAGGGGCATTATGCACATCTTCAGACGGGGAATATTAAGTACAGGTTTAAAAAAGGTATTAGTCCTGCGAATGGCAGCACAGAGGAAAATATTTGAAGACATTGGCTGTTAGAGATAGAGCAAGGGAGGTGATGTACAAGAGAGGTGGGGAATGGGCAGGCGGACAACTAGCAGAGGTGGTCCTATAGCGCCCCAAAATGTGGAGTATCTGTAGGAATCAGAGCAGAAAAGAACCAGATGGGGGCATCATTTTGAATTGAAGTGCAGCTTGGCATCACATACTATGACAGGAGTTGCTGTAAATGCATCCTGGTTTTTCTAGAGAACATAGTGTTGGCCTAGGGCCCTACACAATGAGTGCAAATGGCAAAATAAGAAGAAAAAAAAGAAGAGGAGGAGATTTCAACTGTATTTCAGGAGGAATTTCCAAATGGTGAGAGTTGTTGCATATCACAATGGACTGCCTCAGAAGGCGGTGCACACTCCTTCATTTGAGGTTTTAAAACAGGTTGGATGGGCCATCTGTCATGGATACCCTTAGCTAGAGATTTCCTGTGTGGGTGGCAGTTGGATAGATGGTCCTTGGGATCCCTTCTGACTCAATAATTCTATTAATTCTAATAATACTGAGAAATTCACCTCAAAAAGGGTGGAGAAATTAAGACATTCTATTTTCTTTACTCAAAGGAACTTCCACTATCAGTCTGGTTTCTGCTTTTATTTCTTTAAATTTTTGTCTCATTTCATTCTAAGCACGCCATAAGCCACCACATAGAGATGGCAATTAATGGGTTTGTCTGGATTGTGAACAGTGTATATGGATCAAGTGTCTTCCATTTGCTATGCTCTTTCTCATTTAACCAAGAATTGATGTGTCTCTTGCTTCCCTGCACTAGGAATAATTGCTCCACAAATATCTTCAACATATTTAAATGACTGGTCAGAGAAGACAATGAGGAAATTGTAGTGTGTCATCTACTGTAGCCAAAAAAGCTCTGTCTTCTTTTATGGATTTGCCCTTGGCGCAAGACAACTTAAGTATGCCTGTATTACCTTGATCCAGACACCCAAAGTAACAGAACAATACGAATGATGTTTTCCTTCATACCAAAACAAGACCAGCATATTCTTGCAAAAGCCATTTAAAAATGTCTACCATGTTTCTCAAAATATGTGGTGTAAAAGGTTTCTACAATCCTTTCTGCTCAAAAAATGTGAGGCACATCATGGGAACCAAACAAACATAGGCATACCCTGGATGGAACACGTGGGCCAAAATCCTGTTGCATAGTGCAAGCCAAATCATAGCTTATGAACTGTTCTTCCATAGCCTGCATGTGTGAATCACAGTGGGGATGCTTTCTTTACCAGGAAGAAATGAGTTGAAAGTTATGGTTTGGCTAACATTAACCAACAGGATTTGTGCTGTTATGTCACACATGTGGTGGATGGTGAGATCCCTGCATAGCTCTAATGATTCCCCCCCCCAAAAAAATTAACAGCTTATAACTTTGGCTACTGATAGAGGCTACCATGGATAAATTGATCTACAAATTAATAGGCCTGCATCAGCCTACAAATTGAAACAGAAAGCCACTTCCCCAGCTCCAGTCACAAGCTGTCTCTGAACAGGACATAGGCTAAGTTAATACAGTGGACCCTCGACTTACAGACGGCTCGACTTACAGACTTTTCGAGTTACAGACTTCTCTGGCTGCAAAATTTAGTGTAGGCTAAGTTAATATGTTGAGATTTAAAGTTCAGTCAACATTCAGCTCAGAAAAGATCTCTTTGGATTCTGGACTTACCCCGCTCACATGTTCTTCCCCAGTAACCTGTCCCAGTGCAGTCACAGATAAAGCGGTTCCAGCCATCCTTACAGACAGCATTGTTCTTGCAGGGGTAGCTGTCACACTGCTTGGAGTTGACCCGGATACAGGAAGACTTGACGCCAGCAGCATTTTGCTGCTCTGCTAGCTGCCGGATGTTCTTACTCCGCCCATCAATAAAGAGGTCTCGGATGCAGCCCACGTAGCCATAGTTCAGCATGGCTGTCCAGAGCTCAGTAGGGAGAACGAGACCTGCCCGATTTTCTGGCAGTCCTCCAAGGTACATATCCCCTTCTAGGTCCAGGATCTCACTCTCCCCACTAGCAGTGAAGGGGGTCCGTCTGCTGTTCACAGATATGGTACCTGAAATAAAGAAATCATATTAAGCAATGGCCCTAATGGGAAGCTAACTCTTTGTATGGGTTGAGTCTTAGTGAAAGAGGATGGAAGGCTTCAGTTGAGGATCAAACTAGACAACACACTTAGCATCTTTCTAGAAGAGGTGGTTTCTCAGGTGTCAAAAGATTTCTGAGAGCAAGGATTTCCCTCACTTGTCCATCGGACAGAACACTTTGTTTTGTGACTGATCACTGGAAAGTAAAGGATTCATTTGCAGGTCTGAGTCCCACTGAAAGAAGGCAAAGAAGTTAAGTGCATTGAATACACAAACACCCCACACTTACCATCTAGTTGAAGGGTAGGGAAAAAGTGGGCCTCCAGAAGTTGCATTGCAGTTCTGAAGGTTAGGCACTAGTATCCATGCAGGCTAGAACTGAAATAAGTTCAAGACCAACACCTGGAAGGCTGCACTTCATATACCATAAGATAGCACCTTGATACAAGAACAGTGTGTCCTGAAGGGCTCTGATGTCCTCTACCAAAGCTATTAGGCAACACAGAACCACAATAATAATATTAATAATAAATTGTAGGACACATGAGGACATCTACCCAGTCTATTGTGATGATGCAGGAACTTCAAAAGGCTATTTTTACCCATGACCTTGGAAGCTCCTGCATCAAACTATATCACAGTTTGATACAAGAAGATTTGGGAAGAGAAGGAGATTATTATTTTTTTGCCATTAAAAAAAGGTACTCACTGAGACGGCCTGGTTTTGTTGGAATTCTTAGGAGTTCACATACTGGTATTCTGATTACACCAGTTTGTAGTGCAATTCCATAGATTCATTAAACGCTGACATACTGCAACATATTGGAATCTCAGAGCTTTGGTGTATATTTTATCCTACATTTTAGCACAGTTTGAGCACAGCTTAATAATGCACCTCTCTTTGACAGGAATACAGTAGCCTGCAATTATTCAAATTATAGTGAGGCACCAAGAATACAAAGGAGGTGGAGTCTACTGCCTAGTGGCAGAGCACATCCTTTCCATGCAGGAAGTTTCAGCAGAGCTGCCAAGAGGAAAAAAACAGCTTAGCCTTCAGTATTGGTCCCAATCCAGCAGGGTTACACTTCTGCTCCTACAGCTGAATTATTGGAGGGCAATGAGGCCCAGACTAGAGCTCTCTTTGAGATTTTTCAAGCTCCCCTATGGCTCTTCCTTCCCCATCTTCTTCCAGTTGGTCTGCGAAAGAAGGGAAAGGAAGTGCACTGCTTATTAGCAGTGTCAGAGCAAAGAAGGGAACCGAATTACATGACACACTTGTGTGACTGTCTGCTTGTCATGTTGAAGACCACTGAGGTACCCTGTGCAGCCCCCTCCCAGATGTTTATTCAGGTAGGGGCCTAAGCCAGCAGAAGTAGATAAGGGAGAGAGGAGGAGGGGTGGGAAAATATGTGGTGTGTGAGCACATCCTTTAAGTAATGGATGAACAGAGTGTTATAAACTTCATCTTCAATAGTAACACCATCTTCTAGTTTATTGTTGGAATTATACTCCCTCCGTAATCATGGCATGTTTCACATTTTCCTTCTGTGTGTCATGCAACTTCATTATTCTCGATCAATCATTTACATTTATTCTCTTTTGATTTTTCCATTGCAGCTGATTATCATCTTTCAAATGCTGAAGAGTATTCCGTGCTTTTCCTACTCCAAATTCTAAATAAATCCTTCTAATTTATTGTAGCTGTGAATAGCTTCGGGTCATCTCCGATTACTCTCTCTTCTAGCGGGGAGAAAAACAGAATTGTATTTGCATACCCCAGATCTAAAAGTTCCCCATACGTTTAGATTCAGTCTAGAATCTAAAATTACTCGACTCATCCAAACCGCAACACAAGTTTTCTAGGGCCAGGAGTGTGCAGCTTTCCCAACTACGTAAACAGATACTACTATTTCGAGGCTTCCCATTGCTTTGAAAAGGTCCAACCAAACCCTCTCATCATTCCCTTCTCGTCCTGCTTTAAAACTGATGAGATATTAATGATGTATATTGTATTTTTGATCCCTGTAAAAAGAGTCAGACTTTACCAAATCTTTTAAAACAAACAAACAAACAAAAACTCTTTGCAGCAGCATAGGGCCAGACTAGCAATGGGCAATTTGCAACTGTGATAAACTTAGAATAGACGTGGATAAAATGATTTCTGCTTGCGCAGGAGGAAAATACATTGCTTTATTCTCAGGCCATACCAAAATCCAGCTCCTCTGGCTGCCGTAGGACATAATGAAAAACATGACTGGACTTTGAGTCCCTGCACTTATTCTTCAGGAATCCTCCACCTCTCAGCACACCCGTTCTTCTAGAACCAACATGGTTGTTCCTGCAATCCAGGCAGCACTAAGGACTTGGAACAGAGCTTCCTCATGCTTAAGAACTCTCTGCTCATGTTATCAAGTAAACCCAAATAGAGTTTATGTTGTCACCAAAAATCGTGCACAGCAAAATCCAGAAAGAAGGCTGAGGGTTGTTCTAAGATGACGATTTCCCCAGAATTTTGTAAAAAAAACCAAACCAAAACCAAAACTAGTAGCAAAATACCCAGAAACACTGGAAAAAATTACATGCTTTGTAAATCTCTCTGCAGGCATCCCATTCTTACTTGAATAAGGTGCCTTTAAATCCAGTTCTTACTTTCAGAGCAATCATACTTCCTAGACAAAATATTTTTACCACTTGCTTGTCAGGCCAGTTTCTGAATCAACCCAATGCCCACTGCAGTTTAAAGTCACATGCAGTGTTTGTTGCTTGCTGCATTAGAAAAATCACTTAATCCTATTCTTCAGGAATTTAAAAATGTTTGTGCTAATATGCCTCCCTTTCCCACTCCATACCTGATCTGCCATCTCTCTGAATATCAACGTGATACCATTCTCCATCATTAGCTTTTCTCTGAGTGGCCTTCACTTTGACTGTTCCAGAGCCCATGTCGAGAAGGAGGTAAAGGTTCCCATCTAAGAGTTCCACTGCAAAGAAATCTACTTTGGTATTCTTCTGGCTTCTGGAATCCTTCCTTTCTTGAGGTTTACCATGGGTGAAGAGTATAAGGCCGTTGGGTTCTGTGGTGCGGAAGTCAAAGGAGATAGACCCCATCCTCTTGGTGTTCCACTTAGGCAGGCTAATATAGGCCTCAGGTGTCTCGAAGTTGATGGGGTCCAGCGTGGCTACATTCTCGCATGTGAACTTTACTTCCCCATAGATTTTCATTTTTGTATCACCAATCCTTGCCAAGCGAGACAGCTCCAGACGGATGTCATTATTCTTATAAACAACCTGTCAGGGACAAAGTAAAATACCATATATCAATCCAGAAAATAATGCATGCTTCAGAAAGATGCACCCAAAGAACCTCTTAGAAGTATGGTAAGACTGCGAGACTCCAGACCAGGACTATTGCAGTCATGGGTATTTTGTACCAACCTGAGACCACTGCAAAAACAGAAGAGAACATCCAAGAAATCCAAGTACCCAGTGCCAACTCCCTGTGGGGGGTGAGGCATCACAGTGGCTAAGACAACCTCTGAGTGGGCACACCTCCTTGCTAGTGCTGAGACTCATACATTCTTTAGCTGGAAATAATCCATAGAAATCATTCAGGAGTGAAGAACTGAGATGCTCCTGGTCCTTGTCCTGCTCCCGTTGCTCACCCAGAAAAGACAGGTGAACAAGCACTAACCACAAAGAGCATCAAAGATCAGCAGTGGGATGCCTGCTAAGGCACTGCCCAGGGTGGGCGTCAGACACAGCTGATAATCTACATCAGCCCTGCAAATATTATAAAGATGCTCACTGAAGATTCTGCTATTTGATACAGCATGGCACATTCCCTGTGTTAGAGATATGAAAATATCTGTTTCAGTTTCTTACAATTCTCTGATTGTATTTTCTTTTATTTTTGGATTTTAAATATAGGGAACTCCAGGGTGACCTTGGGGACTACAAAAATGCCCCCACAGCCTTCACGTTGCCTGCTTCTGGGGGGTAGATATGTTGTTTTATGCATGGAAATCTGGGGCATTTGCTATATTTTCCCCCTAATGTAAAAAATTATTTACATGTTTGACCCAACTAGACTTTCTCTGCATTGATTAATACATGTTTGTGCATATGTTTGGTCAGTTTCAACCGAGCCATTCTTAATGGGGACCACGGCACATTTGAAAGGGGCCACAGCCTGGAAACCATTCTTCACACACCTTCTATGTTTGTTAAGTGGCTTATAAAATCTTAAATCAAACTCTGTTTCCTTCATATTGTCATGCCTAAAAAAAAAGAATGCTTGTTTTAAACCGTGTGCATGTTATACAGGCAGCCTCAAAGCACAGTGGTTAAACTGCAGTGCTGCAGTCAAGGCTCTGCTCATAACCTGAGTTTGATCCTGGACTCAGGTAGCTGGCTGAAGGTTAACTCAACCTTCTATCCTTCTGAGGTCAGTAAATCGAGTACCCAGCTCACTTGCAGGGCAATGTGTGGCATGCATAATGAAACTGTAAACTGCTCAGAGAGTGCGACCATATGCAACAGTATATAATCAGCACATTTTGCTTTGCTTTAAAGTGTTCACTGTTTCGTGAGTGTTTTCTTCCTCTAACATGCCCTGTCAAGTGCAGCAAATGTGTGAATTCTCAAAACAAGAAGACTTTCTCTACACAATGACTCCAGGAAAATGGGGAAACACCTGCTTTGATCAAAACTGCCAAATCAGATTAAACACTTTTCCATTCTTACATCTTGTGTTTAGAATTTTGGTATTGCATTTTCAGAGAAACTGGTGTGCTGGTACATCAGCCATCCCCTAGTTGGCTGTCCACATGTTTGTAACTACAATTTCCATCTTCCTCAGCCAGTACGATCAGTGGTGAAAAATTATGGAAGCTGTATTTAAAACATCTGGGGGGGGGTCAGACTTGTGTGCTCATCCATCCCAGTCAGAAAGTCCATGTCCTTACCAGCACTGAAGGTGCTGAATCCTCTGCACTGAAAGGGCAAGCTAGTAAGAATATGCCCTGACTTCATCTCTTGTTTTATTATGTAATATATCAAAGAGTGATTCACTCGCTTTGCTTAAGGCAGTAAACTAAACAGCCATCTCCTGATGCACCAAGTGGCAACTCATGTTTGTGGATGAAAATCAAGATCCCCAGTGTTTTGATCTCAAAGAAGGTCTCTGAACTTGTTATTTCTGGTGGTTGGGAGTGGGGCACACACGTCATAGAAGCAGCAAGTTCTCTGCATTGCATTGCTTTCTCCTTGAAAATAACTGATTTGAATTTCAAGCACATTAGGAATCTTGGATTTAATACATTTGTATCCTTTGTCACCATAGGTTTATTGCCATCCGTGGCATTCAAGCACCACTTGATCAATATGGAATATAGGAATAGATCTTAAATAACCTACTGCAGTGTATTAGAGAAAATGCTGGATTATACTCAAGATACTCAATACAGTGTCCTGCTCAACCCTAAAGCTCAATGGCTACTTTTGGCCAGATTGCTAACTCCAAGTTTAATCTACTTCCTACAGCAGTGGTGGCAATAATACAGGATAGTTCTATATTCACATTCTGGCTTTGCTGTCTCGCCACCCAGGCCAAGCCTGAAATGGAACACAGTGGCACCTTGACTTACGAACACCCCGACATATGAGCAATTTGACTTACGAACAGCTCCGTTCACAAAATTTTGCTCTGACTTGCGAACGGAGCTTTGACTTATGAACAAAAAAAGGCAGGGGAAAAGGGAATGAAATATAAATATACTAACCGTTGGTGGTGAAGAGGCTGCTTCTTTGTAGCTCTTTCGCCCCAACGGTTCAGGAAAGGGATGTGGCGACAGGGGTGGCCCAGCATTGGGAGGCTTGAGCCTGGCCAAGGTGCTTTGGCCGCTCGCCTCCCTGCTCACCTCCCGCTCGCTCTTCGCCACCCTCTGCGGACCAATGCTGCTGCTGGTGCCCGATGCTGGCTCCAGCTCCGGAACCGGCACCAGAGGCTGCTCGCCAGGGCGGCCATGTTGGTCCTCGGCGCTCCTCGCCGCCCTCTGCCATTTGAATTTCCTGTCATTGGCCCACGGAGGGCAGTGAGGAGTGCCAAGGACTGACGTGGCCACTCTGGCGAGCAGCTGCTGGTGCCGGTTCTGGAGCTGGAGCAGGTGTCAGGCACCAGCGGCGCCATCAGTCCATGAAGAGCAGTGAGGAGCAAGCAGAAGGTGAGCCAGGAGGCAAGTGGCCAAAGCACCCCAGCCAGGCTCAAGCCTCCCGTCCGCAGCGGTCACAGCAGCGGTGGAAGCCCGGGAGGCCACAGCAACAGTGGAAGCCCGGGAGGCTGAGGAAGCTTTGGACCAGTAAGGTGCTGGTTTTTAAAAAGGGTTTTGTTTTGTTGGTGGGGGGATTGAGGGTTGGTGTTGTTTTGTTTTTGGTGATTTTTTTCTTTTGCAGTCCCAGCGTGGGGCTTGCTCTGTTTATTTTTATTTTTATTTTGATATTTTTTTGAAATGCCAGAATGGATTAATCCCGTTCCCATGCATTTCAATGGGAAATGCTGATGTGATTTATGAACATTTTGACTTATGAACATCTTCTTGGACGGATTAAGTTCGTAAGTCCAGGCACCACTGTACTCTGAATCACTCTTGCCTCACCTCTCAGATTCAAATTATACAATATGCTTAAAATGTTTTTAGGTCCTTCCTCATGTGGTGAACAACATCTGTTTGTCTTAATACATTGTTGTCGTCCTCTATCTAGCTTGCATGTAGTATGCATTGTTTTCGGATTGGTTGTTCAAAGGTAAAGGGCAAAAATGGACTTAATTTGCAAATCTAATTCTCAGTAACTCCTTCCATTGTAAGAAAGAAAATGGGTTACTCATATAGAATTCATGTTCCCCTTAATACAATTCATATAATTGTATAATAGTAAAATTCATATATTTTCTAGTTTGAACCTTGCATGTATTTATTTATTTATTCCATTTATACATTTCTAGTTTGAACTTCGCATGTAAAATTCATATATTCTGCTTCTTCTCAATTAAGTGTTTAAGCAACATATGATAGTAAATGTGTGTGTGAATATGAAAGTTTTTTGTTTGCTTGCTTTCAAATAAGTATGTGGGAGCCTGATCCAGACTTCAGTAAGGCTCCCAAGGTGTTTTTAAAACCTAAATGTATCTCCTAATTATATGGGAGCTTTTTTAAAAAATAGAAACAATTGTGTTGGCTCTTGAGGACCTAAGAAAGCAAAACCATCAAACTCCTGTTGGGGACGTTATCAGCATTTTGTATTTCTCCCTTAGCTGGAAACAAGGCCATTACAATTTTATGATAAGGAAGTGGCTGTTTTGTACGGCATGGATGATAAGGCAGGAAGAGTCATCCTACAGAAGTACTTGTAGGAATTTCTCCACATTGGTAAGCCCCCAGTATATAGTATAATTAGCATAATGGCAAATAGAACCCTTCCTTCCAGGAGCTAGGAAATCTGGCTAGCTGGAATAACCTGTCTTTAAACACATAACAAATGTTATGCCCTACTTTTTGATTAAAGGCATAAAAGATACTTCACACTACATGTGTAAACTGGCCTTTTCTCTTCAGGCATGACCCCAAATCAATTACTTCTTCTAAACAGGAAACACAGCAGTTAGAAATACCAAGATTTGAACCAAAATGAACCACTGAGAAAAATTAGAGGTGTTAACATTCTCAGGGAAGCCCAGGGCTTGGCAGAAATCTGTCCCACCCCCAAAACACAATCATGGGGTCTGGAGGAGAAGTCCCTGATAGGTTGCACACAAACACATATAAGTCAACAAGGAGAATTCCACCATGTAATATTTTGTTTCAGGGCCACTGTATAATATTATGGCCAGAATCCTGTTGCACAGCTCCACATGTACAGTGAGAATGACATAATAATCAGTTACCATTTCCACTGATTAAAAAACCCCTTTTTTCATTTTTGGCCTGCATACAGTTTTCAGCTATGAGATGAAATTGAAATTGAAAAAGGAAGTATTTAATCAATAACAATCTGCCACAAATTGTGATGTTATTCACATTGTGCAGCTGTAACCTGCCCAACAGTATTTTGGCCTGTATTTCCTTGACCAGGTTATTGCAGGGACCAATATGATCAAATCTGAATTTGATCTCATGTTCTCTAATGGTTGCAGGGGATTAGACCAATCTCTTTCACTTTCTATAACATTTGGGTTTTTTCTAGCACACATTCTATATCAATGGCCCATAATCCTTGTTATTATGTGCTGTCAA